TAAGTATACTCGGTGCATAAGATTTAAAAGATACGATGATAGGTGGGGTACGAGGAGGACAGTGGAAGGAGTGATAGAGAGAGTCTTCGAAAAGGCAAGAAAAGGGAGGAACTAGGAGGAGAGAAGACGAAAGAGAAATGAATAGGATGTGAAGAGAGATAGATATGGAAAGAGTGTGAGGGAGATAATGTGAGTTACCCAGGTAGCAGATCTCACGGCTCCTAAATTCATTGTTTCGTTCTGTGACGTTGATATAAAACATATTTAGACAAAGTATTAGCAATAGGGAAATTAGCCATGTGGCGGATTCCACTGACTAAATGGAGTAAACTCAATTACTGCTTTGAACTTGCCTTGAAGGATTTACCAACACAGAGAAACAGGTGGTCGATAACGAGAATTTGAACTAGCAAAAGGATAGAACCTGCTGCTTAGCGGCGAAGTTTGATAATCTGCGAACATGAGAGAAAGTGATTGACCTTCATGTCCCAAGTGTAATGGATGTCAAGTGCATGAACCACTAACTGAGAGTGTTGAAATACTTAGATATCAGTGGAAACGTGTAGGATACAATCAATATAAACTGATTATTTAAGACTTGACTTTGTTATCACACATAGATACTCTATGTACGGAATTTCCCCACTTCGCCCAAGGATGATAACATACTTGAGTGAGGGGAAGATAGTACACAATTTTTGAAGTACCCACTTCAGACAATTAAGAGAGTCCCAAGTGCGTTTTTGTAAAAGGGAGAAAATGAACCCACCAGGTTTTCTTCTTCTAGGGGTTTGTTCCTTAACGATGAGTGGTACTGCTTAATAGGCTCGTATTTTTTCTGCATAAGATATAAAAATTGGTCGAAAGCAGCAGTTCGAAAGTAAGTATATATTTATATAATGCAACAAACCCTAACCAACTTCCAAAAAAGATTGGATACTCAACAAATGTTGTGGAGATTGTCAGATATTGGAATGCTGCATATCATTGGGCAGGACCTTCAGCACCACTGAGTTATAGCTACGACCTACTAACACAATTCATTAATTATCATCTGTGTCCACTTTTGTGACTAATTCGGATGCACTGTCTCCTCCATCTCCAGTCACTAATAATAGCGAAGCCCCCATTACACCTTTACAAGCTCCAATCAGAAACGCTATCAAGCGTGAAGATGCAAGTAATGCTGAGAATAATCAACACTATGACCATGAGCTGAATCACCAACCGAATATTCATCCCGAAAACAACATCATCTGTTCTCACCTAATTGTACTCACCTAGTAATGCTTGTGAGGCTCGAGCTTTGGCTCTTTGGTCCCACCCAGGGAGCCGGTCGGCCGAGCGGACAACACGCTGGACTTGTGATCCTGTGGTCCTGGGTTCGACCCCAGGCGCCGGCAAGAAACAATGGGCAGAGTTTCTTTCACCCTAGGCCCCTGTTACCTAGCAGTAAAATAGGTACCTGGGTGTTAGTCAGCTGTCACGGGCTGCTTCCTGGGGGTGGAGGCCTGGTCGAGGACCGGGCCGCGGGGACACTAAAGCCCCGAAATCATCTCAAGATAACCTCAAGATAACCACCTCTCAACTGTCAATCAACTGGTCTACAGAATCTGGAGCCTACTGGGCTCTATCAAATCAACATTTGAAACTGTGTACGGGGTCTGCCTCCACCACATCACTGCGTAATGCATTCCATATGTTAACTACTCTGACATCAAACAAATTCATTCTAATGTCTCTGTGGCAAATTTGGGTACTACGTTTTCACCTGTGTTCCCTTGTACGTGTTCCACCCATGCTAAAGAGTTTGTCTTTGTCCAACCTATCTATTCCCCTGAGGATTTTGTAGGTGGTTATCATGTTTCCGCATACTCTTCTGTTTTCCAGGGACGTGAGGTTTAGCTCCCTTAGCCTTTCCTCATAGTTCATTCCTCTCAGTTCTGGGACTAGTCTGGAGGCATACCTCTGAATCTTCTCTAACTTTATCTTGTGTTTAACTAGGTATCCACTCCAGGCTGGACCTACATATTCCAGGATTGGTCTGACATAAAAATGGTATACAAGGTCCTGAGCGATTCTTTACACAATTTTCTAAAGGAAGTTCTTATGTTGGCCAATCTAGCATATGCTGCTGATGATATCCTTTTGATATGGGCCTCTGGGGGACAGGTTCGGTGTGATATCAATCCCCAGATCTTTCTTTCTAATTGACTCTTGCTGGATTTCACCTTCGAGATGTTACCTTGTGTTCAGCCTTCTTCTCCCTTTATCTAATTTTATCACCTTACACTCTACCGAGTTGAACTTTAGTAGCCATATTCTAGACCATTCCTCCAATTTGTCCAGGTCCTCCTGTATTCTCTGTCTATCGTCATCTGTCTTGATTACTCTCATAATTTTTGCATCATCAACAAACATTGAGAGGAATAAGTCTGGAAGTTCGTTTACAAATATTAGAAACAGAAAGGGCACAAGCACAGAGCCCTGTGGGGCTCCGCTGGTGAAATCTCGTGACTTTGATGTCTCCCCCTTTCACAGTTACTCGGTTTCCTGTTGCTTAGATACTTCCTTATTCACCGGAGCCCTTACCGTTTACTCCTGCCTTTTGCTACAACTTATGGAACAGGCTTTTTAATTGGTACTGTGTCAAAGATTTTCTGACAGTCCAAGAAAAGTCAGTCTGTTCATATATCCATACATCTATCAGTCTAACCATCTATCTAGCTATCTATTTGTTACTACATCTATCCATCCATTTATCAATTTACCTTTCTATGTCTCCATCTATTCATGAACCAATATATTCATCTCTATCCGTCAATACATCCAAGTACTCATCCCTCTATCAATTTACTTTTTATCTAGCCATTTATATACTTCTCCATCTAACTTTACTTCTAACCATCCATTTGTATATCCATCTATTAATTTACAATTATATATATATATATATATATATATGTATATATATATATCTATTATAGATCTATATTATATATATATTATTATAATATATATATTATATATATATATATATGTCGTACCTAGTAGCCACTTCTCACTACGCATAGCTAAATATGCACGGCCCGATATGCCTAATAAGCCAAGGTTTTCATGAATTAATTGTTTTTCGACTACCTAAACTACCTAACCTAACCTAACCTAACTTTTTCGGCTACCTAACCCAACTAACCTATAAAGATAGGTTAGGTTAGGTTAGGTAGGGTTGGTTAGGTTCGGTCATATATCTATAAAAAAAAAATTGACTCAATAATATGGGTTGCTGTATCATATATATATATATCTATATAGTAGCCAAAAAGTGAGTTCTGGCTTATAGGTACGACATATATATATATATATATATATATATATATATATATAATATATATATATATATATTATTAAATATGACCGAAAAAGTAAGATTAATAATTCTAACACGAATTTTCTCAATCTTTCGTACATTTCTTTTCACTGTTGGAGGTAAATAAAAAATCAATTCTCCAAAATTCATTTTTATTTCTAGTCTGACGCGACACGAGCGCGTTTCGTAAAACTTATTACATTTTCAAAGACTTTAGTTCACAAATACACAACTGAATAGAACTTACGCATCTCCGATTTTATATCTACATTTGAGTGAGGTGGAAGGGGTGATGTGGCATTAACACAAAACAGAACAATAGGGTATTAATAGGGTATTAATTTCATCAACACAAGACAGAACAAGAAGTGGTATTAATAGGGTATTAATTTCATCAACACAAGACAGAACACGAAACAATGGATATTGAATAGAAGTGTTTGTAGAAAGCCTATTGGTCCATATTTTCTTGATATATTTCTATATTGGAGCGGAGTCTTGAGGTGGGTAGAATATAGTTGTGCAATAATTGGCTGTTGATTGCTGGTGTTGACTTCTTGATGTGTAGTGCCTCGCAAACGTCAAGCCGCCTGCTATCGCTGTATCTATCGATGATTTCTGTGTTGTTTACTAGGATTTCTCTGGCGATGGTTTGGTTGTGGGAAGAGATTATATGTTCCTTAATGGAGCCCTGTTGCTTATGCATCGTTAAACGCCTAGAAAGAGATGTTGTTGTCTTGCCTATATACTGGGTTTTTTGGAGCTTACAGTCCCCAAGAGGGCATTTGAAGGCATAGACGACGTTAGTCTCTTTATATGTAGATATAAAATCGGAGATGCGTAAGTTCTATTCAGTTGTGTATTTGCGAACTAAAGTCTTTGAAAATGTAATAAGTTTTACGAAACGCGCTCGTGTCGCGTCAGACTAGAAATAAAAATGAATTTTGGAGAATTGATTTTTGATTTACCTCCAACAGTGAAAAGAAATGTACGAAAGATTGAGAAAATTCGTGTTAGAATTATTAATCTTACTTTTTCGGTCATATTTAATAATATATGTCTACAGGAAAGACTGCTACCAAAATATACTAATATATATATATATATATATATATATATATATATATATATATATATATATATATATATATATATATATATATATATATATATATATATATATATATATATATATATATATATATATATATATATATATATATATATATATATATATATATATATATTATATATATATATATATATATATATATATTAGTATATTTTGGTAGCAGTCTTTCCTGTAGACATATATTATTAAATATGACCGAAAAAGTAAGATTAATAATTCTAACACGAATTTTCTCAATCTTTCGTACATTTCTTTTCACTGTTGGAGGTAATTCAAAAATCAATTCTCCAAAATTCATTTTTATTTCTAGTCTGACGCGACACTTGAGCGCGTTTCGTAAAACTTATTACATTTTCAAAGACTTTAGTTTACACATACACAACTGAATAGAACTTACGCATCTCCGATTTTGTTTATATCTACATTTGAGTGAGGTGGATGGGGTGAGGTGGTATTAATAGGGTATTAATTTCATCAACACAAGACAGAACACGAAAC